AGATACGATTCTAACATCGCGATCAAACTCATTGATCTAACACCACGCGTGACATTGAGGTCCCGCGCTATCGCGCAGGCCCCAACGATACCAAATGCACTCGCTACGCTCGTACATTGCGCTATCACGCACAGTATCCTACCACACTGCCGTGCACTATCGCAAGTGCACACGCTAAACTCAGGATTAGCGCTGCGCGCATCGATGGCACATGCATCCCTACCGCTCAAACGCGCGGACCCCAGCTATCGCTGGGTGCACTCGCTGCGCTCGTGGTTTGCGCTATCGCGCAAAAAAGTTGTTATTCACTTAAAAGATAGACTAGGGTTAACCTCGTGTTTTCTTGGGGCAGGTTTTGGTCGAGCTCTTTGGTTGAGGTTTTGCATTGGGGTAGCGTGCAATCTAGCGGAGGGATCGTGTACTACGTGTGACGTAGTTTGGACTCGTCGGTGGACGGGGTCATGTGCATTGAAGTTCAACGTACCTGCCCCAAACCTCGGGTTTTCTTGGGGCAGGGTGTGGTTGGTCTTTGTGGTTGAGGTGGGGCATAGGGCCGGTGGGCCATCTAGCGGTCTTTCTGCGTCGCATGCGCAGTGGTTTGATCCATGTAGAAGGTTTGTGCAGGTGCTGTCGCGCTTTTTGATTTCAGTTTGGTATTGGGGCCGCGTGCAACCTAGCGGTATGTCTGTGTCGTAGCTTGGACAGTGTGGATGCCTTCCACCCTTACGGGCTCTTGTACTATGCATGTCCAACGCACCCTTCCTACTGCAAACACGCATTCACATGGCGAATGTGTGATGGACGCGTGCGACGGACGCGACCTCCGCTTCGTTGCGGTGCCCAGCGGGCCGCTACCGGCCGTCACCCGGAAACGACACTGCGGTGCAACCTCCACTGTGCTACGGTGCACCTGGTGGATTCTTTGTAGGGCTCCAGTGGTATCAACGTCAAATTTATTTTCTATTGTGCGGTGATGTTGGTGCATCGTCCCAATCTCGCTTAGATGTGGATTATTGTTATTGTTAGAGCCATCGCCGGGAAGAGCTCTTTCTTAGCCGCTTCAACCTTCGCATCGTTTCGGCACTCGGGTCCAGTACTGCATAGCAGGACGCTTCGTGCATAGAGGCCACAGCAGCTTGATCAACATTGCAGGATGGATAACGTTCATGAGGTGGTTTAAAGAATCGCTACTCGGATTTGCAGGCCCAGCGATTCTACTGTGACGGGCGCGGCCGCTCGACGCGCGCGCTTCGCCTGGAGGCGCAGTGGCGGTCGCGGTCAACGCATTAGTTCGCTGCCGTCGCCTCTGCCCCGCGTCGATTTTCCGCTTTAGGTCCTTGGTCACATCGAACGCAGTCGCTACTGCCGCTGCGCTCGCAGCATGGCGCTGCTGCGACTACCGCACGCGCTGCGCCCCGACACGCTCGGCCTCTCCATGGCCGAGTCTCCTATTCTGTGCTTGACGCGCGGATTGCGATAGAAACCTGCAAGGCAACCGTAACATCCAGATACGATTCTAACATCGCGAACAAACTCATTGATCTAACACCATGCGTCGTATTGAGGTCACGCGCT